GATCCCTCATCCCCCCCAAGCAAAGGGAGCGCAGCCCCGCTGCCCTCGCATGGCCCCGCTGCTCACCGGGGCAGGCAGAGCAGCATCCCCGGGCACCAGAACGGGGCTCCTGCAGCAGCCCACCCCCCGTGCCACGGCCAGGGAGGGGTCACATCGCCCCAGCCTCCCGCCCCAGCCCCGGCACATGTGTTTCCAATGTGGCTGGGAGCTCCAGGGAGTCGGCGTGCTCAGAAAGCAGCACCAAATTCCTTTCCGATCGAGTAATGGGCCCCAGCAGCCTTCGCGGGGCCGGGCAGGGGGAGGGGATGCTCGGACCCTTCAGGACCGGGCTGGAGCAGGGGAAATCCCAGACTAAACAGAGGGATCCCGGCCGGGCATGAGCGTGGCATTCCGCGGTAGCGGCCCAGGGCCAGGCTCTGGCACAGTGTCCTCCCGGGCAGCTCCTTGGCTCAGCCAGTCTGGGCCCTCCTCCCCGTGGGACTGTCTCCATCACCTTGCCCGATGCAGCCCCACCAGCATCACCCCTCATCCAGCACCCCCGGGGCGGGCCCTGCAGAGGGGATGATGTTCCCACCGGCACTGAGTGCCAGGAGCTCCGGTGACGATGGGATGGGGTGGCTGGGGACGATGGAGCGGCTGGGGACGATGGACCAAAGTCAGCCCCGCGGATGGGGATGCCAGGCGATCACCGCCTGGCCGGGATCAGCGTTGAAGGTGTTTGTGGGGGAGCCGCCACCGGCCCCCTCGCCTTCCCGGGAAGCGATTCTGCTTCTCTCAGCAGCTTTGGCAAGGACGGCTCCTTTGCAGCGGCTGCCGGGAAGCGAGATGTACCCAGGGCTGACAGCTGCCGCCTGGCCGGCAACACACACGGCGCTTGCCCACAGCGCCCCTGGGCTGACAGCGGGACTGTGGGGCCCTCCGGAGACCCCCGGGGACTGGGGGGACCTGGACCTGCCCAGGCCCACACAGCCCTGTCCTGAGAGCAAGGACCTGCATAGGGACAGACGTCTGACGGGCTGGGCTGTGGGTGCAGCCCAGCTGGGAGGTGGGAGTCCCCGGATGGGCGGTGGGTGTATCCCGGAGGGGCGGTGAATGCCCCTGGCTGGGTGGTGGGTGCACAGTAGCTCCCCTCCGTCCGCCCCCCACCAAAAGCATCATGCACAGCATGCACCCAGCGCTCCACACTGCCCAGCGAGATGCGCCCCAGCGAGCCGGCAGCGCTCGCACCCAGCCTGCCGGAGGCACCCTGGAGGGCAGGGAGGGAGGGGATGGCGGGGCGGATGGCCCCAGCCAGCCTCCCGGCACCCGGCTGGGCTGGGAGATGCGGGTGGGCTGGCAGTGGGTGATGCTCCCTGCAGCGGGCCTGGGTCCAGCCGGCCTCGACACCCGGTGCCCCGCACCGGGGCGCGGGCAGCGCGACAAGCCGGGGGTCCCAGCGGAGAGAGACTCCCCGACTCAACAGCAACCCCAGCCCGGCGGGGCAACCCCGGGCCGACACACCGCGACCCCCCAGGGATGCGGCAGCGCAGGAGCTTGGGGGAGCCTGAGGGTAGCGGGAGCGGCGGGAGATGCTCGGTGCCCCCGCGGCTTCAGGCCTCTCTCCGCCGGGCAGCGGGACCGCCCGCTGCCGGGATACCGGTGAAGCCGGTCGGGAGCAGGACCAGTCGGGAGCGGGGCCGGGCTGCGGGCGCCCCGATCCCCTCCCCATCCCCCGTTGCCCGGGCGCCCCTGCCCGCGGCTCCGGCTCCAGACAATGGCGAGGAACCGGTGCCGGGCCCAGCACCGGGGAGCCCCACGGGGCCCTCCCCGCCGTGCGCGAATTCCCCCGCTCCCCGCTCTCGCTGCCCGGCTGGGGGTCGGACCGGGCCGTGCCGGGGACTCCCGGGGCCGGCGGGTCCCGGCGCTCGCACGTGCCGGCCCGGCGCAGACAAAGCGGGGACCGCGCCCCGGCCCGGTGCGGCGGGCAGGTGCGGACACCGGGGGCGGCGAACCGGGCACACCCCCCGCCGCCCCGCCCGCCTTTGTGTGCCGGGGCTCGCGGGGACGGCGGGGGGCGCAGCTCGGGGCGCGGCCGGTGTTACCGGGCGGCTCCGTGCACAAAGGGCGGCGGCGGCGGCGGGGACAAAGGGGCGGCGGCGGCGGCGGGCGCGCTCACCAGTCGGTGGGGCTGTCCTCGCCGATCACGTCCTGGTAGGAGGCGAGCAGCTCCAGGCGGTGCGCCGCGAAGCCGACGCCAGCCATGGCGGGGCCGGGATGCTGCCGGGGGACCGGAGGGACCGGCCGCCTGCCCGCCTCCGAGACACTGCCGCAGCGGCCGGGCGGAGGGGCGAGCGGCGGGGAGGCTCCGCCCGCCGCCGCGCCCGGTCCTAGCGCCGCGAACGGCGGCCCCCCTCCCCTCCCCTCCGCCCCCCCGCCCGGCCCCCGCCCCCGCCGCGCCCCCGGGGCGCCCCCGGGGCACCCCGCCGGCCGCGCCGCCCGGCCCCGAGCCGGGACCCCGGGGGTGCGGGAGCATCACCCCCGCCCCGGGCCGCCCCCGCACGCAGCTCGCCCCCGGGATCCCGCAGCCTGGGCTCCGCTCTGCCCCCGCAGCACCGCGCTCCGGGCCGTCCCCAGCCCCAGGGACGCTGAACCCCGGCTCAGCTCCTCCTGGGAACCTGCACGCCGGGTGATTTCGCATTTCGGGCTCTCCTCCGCCCTGGGGACGCATCCTGTGCTGCCCCTCCCGGGAACTTGCACTCTGGAGACCTCTCGTGCTGGGTGGTCCCTTTCCATTCCCATATTCTCCCCTGCCCCACGTCCTCTACACCCAGGGATGTGGCACACGTGGCTTCCCGTGCCCTCCGCTGCCCCACGCCGAGCCCCCGTGTCCAAGGTTTCCTCTCCAAGGACACGGCACCGTCGGCTTTGCCCTACACACCCAGCAGTGCCCTCACTGCCCGCATAAGGGGTCACTGGACACGGCCTTTTTGGGGGCGTCTTTGATGCCCATCTGCTTCTCTAGCCCCACCACTGCCAAGCCCCCGGTCCTTTCAGAACCTCGCTAGCACCTTTTCCAGGAGGTTTTGCCTCTGTGTGAACCCACAGCTGGTTTTGCACTGACCCTCGCAGGGCTCTGAAGGGGCTCCCAGCCAGGTCTTAATGCTCCTGCCAGGACAGGCAGCGATTCCTGTCCCTGGCGCTGCCCCCAGCCTGGAGGGTCTCTGCCAGAGCAGCAATGGAGAGCGCGTAGGGCCTGATTCCTGCGGGATGGGGATGCTGGTGGAGTGGCCCGTCGCAAAACAAGCCCTTCAGGCAGCCCGTGGGACATGGGGACATGAGGGACATGGGACAGGGTGCCGAGGGTCCCGGCGGTGCCGCCCGCCCTCCTCACACCAGCATTTCCGAGCGAGGCCAGAGCCGGAGCCGCCCTAAGAGGCTGTGAGAGTTTGGGAGCAGCTGTGGAGCAGCTGCCGGGGCCAGCGCGGGGGCTGGGGCCGGGGCAGGCGCCCCACAAGCGGCTCAGATGTCTTTGGGGGTGGATGTGGTGGGACCCTGCTCGGGGATGTGGTGGGAGCTCCGAGCCTACCGCCGCCAGGCTTTGTTCTCGGAGCAGCGAGGCTGCAGCCCCTCCCCAGGCTCCACCTCCGCAGCCCACCCGAGACCCTCCTTCCGCTGCCTGTGCACAAGCTCCTCACATGGTGCGCAGAGCTGGTGGGCAAGAAATGCCCTTGGCAAAGCGCAGAGGCACCTTGGGTGGTAGAGGCGCCATCAGGAGGGCCCAGAGGCAACAGGGAGCCAAGCAGAGCCAAGCCCCCCATGAGCGCAGACCTTGCAGTAGCACCAGGGGATGCTTGGCTCTCCCCAGGGAAGAGGCAGGTTGACTGTGGCACCCTGGCCCTGCTCCACAGCTGGGCACCCCGGGGCTGATCTGGCAGAACCTGTTCCCAGCCTGTGCTAGCCCAGCAGGCTCCGTCCCGCACCACTGCCTGCCCCTGCCCCTTTCCCACCCTCCACTCACGGGTTGCTGTCCAGCCAACCCAGGGTTGGTTCAGGGCCTGCCCACGTGTGGCCACAGCCACCTCACCTTCCCCTGTGCTTCCTCTGACCTTGGCTGCACGGCTGGGACTCACACGTGGGCACTCAGCCCTGCTCCTGCAGCCCTGCCAGGCAGGCACCAGCTGTTTCTGTGCCATGTCCTGCTGCTTCCCAGTGCGACCATCCCACTGCTCTCACGTGCCCCAGCCTGACTGCCTGGCACAGCCCCAGCTTGTCTTTATCCCTCGCCTTTCCTTGCCCCATCTTTGATGTGCTTTTGCACTCCTGGAACTGGCAGTGAGAAGACGTGGCACCGCAGCCCGGATCTGGGTGATGCCAGGAGGTATTTGGCTTCCCACAGCCAGCTCCTGCCCCAGGCAGAACCTTCCAGTAGATGAGCAAGACAATTTTCCTTACAATTGCTCATCATGGCAAGAGCTGCAATTATTAATGACCGTTCCAGCTGTCAGAGTGGAGAGGGAGGAGAACACCCACTGCCCTGGAGCCCGTTCCAGCCGGAGGTGCTGCTGTGGCCTCACCACTGTCCTTTGGGACAGCAGCTGCAGCGCCTGAGCGAACGCTTGGCCGCTCCACGCTGGAGAACGCCCAGAGCTGCTGCACGTGGCCCACGCGTGCCTCACGACTCCTCAACCCCTCTACAGCACTCAGGCCTAAGGAGCAGAGGACACTGCCAGGTATACAAGGACCCCCACTAAGGTCTGACCCCTTCCCCATCTCTCCTTGCTGCATTTTGCCCCCCAGATTAATTACTGCCCCCATTAGCGGTCCTGCCTGCTACAAGAGGGACGACCCAGCCGACACAAGGGGTCAAGCCTGGGCAGAGGAGGAGAAATCTGAGGCTAAGAGTTTCCCTGGAAAGCTGGAAGGAGCTGAGTCAGGCCCCAGAGGGAGCGGGATGAGGGCAGAGAATGACCTTTCCAGCCGGCCGCACCTCACTCGGCAAAACCACTGGCCTGGAGACAGCGGCACTTGCAGAGATGTGTTTATTAAAGGCACTAAAAGCACCGTGGCTACATCAGCACAGCCCAACCGGAGGGTGTGGTTTGGGGGGAGGCATCAGTGGCCCCAGGATGGCAGTGGCAGAGAGCTCTTTGGTAGGAAGCTGTGCCCAAGCCTTGCAGGAGCAGCAGCCTGGCAGGGCTGGCCATCATTACACGCTGCCAGCCCCACGGCTGGGCCACGCCAGGCTGGGGGTGTTGCCAGCCCCAGGGGAGCAGTGGGGCAGCAGGGTGGGGGGCTTGAGGCACAGACACCCCTGGAATGCAACTGGGGCAGGAAGCCACGGCAGCAGTTTGAGGGTGGCTGGTGGGTTGTCATGGGCAGGGCCCCAGCAGGGGAGCAGGGCTGGGTCTCCAGCCCCAAGCACACAGCAGGGAAGGCTGGGGAGAGTGAGACAAAAGCTGGTCCTCACCCACTCAGGGATGTGTAAGGAGTATCCCTGCCCCAGCACTGGGCTGCCAGGCAGCAAGGGAGCAGGCCAGCCGTGGCAGACCCCCTCCAATTCCAGCCTCAGCATGGTTCAGGGGCAGGAGATCCATGCAGCATCCCCTTTCCAGGGCTCCTAGGGCCAGTTGAGAAGCACGTAAGAAGCCACCCAGCTATAAAATGCTCTGGACCCAGCACTGTATCTGGCTGAAGTTGAGCCAGGAGCTGCCAGGAAAGAGGCAGGAGCAAGGGAAAGGGCCAAGGGCCCAGCCTGGCTCCCTGGGGCCAGCAGGGCAGGGGAAGGGGAGCATGCAGGGCCAGGGGCATGTGTGGGCACAGCTGAATTCCCACCCCTCACACATGGGAGAAAGCATGGCTCTTGCACAGAGGCTTGTCCTTCTTGGAGTAGAACGTCTTCCCTTCCAGGTTGGTCTGGCAGATCTGCAGAGGAAGGTACAGGTGGTCAGGTCGGGGGGCTGAGTCAGCCTCTGGTCCCCCACAGCCCAGCACTGGTGTCACACAGGGACCTCCACATGGCCCTGGGGCACTGCGAGGGAGCAGAAGGCTCAGAGCAGAGCCCCAGGCGTCCAGAACGGAGGCAAGTGGGACGAATCTTGTGGCAGCAGGTTCCCTGTGCTGCGGGTGTACCCCACCCAGAGCAGGACTGTCGGGGAGAGGCACAGGCCCTGCAACAGTCGGGGAGGGAGGCACACTGCTCACCGCACAGACAAAGCAAGTGTCATGCCAGCTGAACCCCAGCGCCTCCAGGAACCGGTCCCCAGCATCGATCTTGAAGTCACAGCCACGGCACTTGGTGCCAAACATCTTCTCATAGTCTGTGAGGAAAGGCAGAGCCAGGTCAGCACTTCCATGCACCACCACCGCTCATGCCAGGGGAGCAGGGCTGCAGCTCAGCCAGGACCCCACAGGCACAGCCTGGGGACAACTCTGCCAGCCCCCATCCCGGTGAGATAATGCCCTGGACACCCGGGAAAGGTGCAGGGTGGCATAGCCAGCACAGGGCTCCAGGGGGAGGAGGAGAACCTCATCTCCCAGGATGCAGCACTCGCTTTGATGTACATCCTCCCTCATCGCCATGGCAACATAGGAGCTATGGCACTACCCTGCAGCTAGGGAGAACCAGGTGGAGGGCTCAGGGCTGTGGGATTGGGGTCTCTGTGCTCCCCACAGCCCAGGGGGAGCCCTGCAGAGCAGGGCAGCTCATACCCCCAGCCCTGTGTGCAGCTGCTGAGTCCCAGTGCGCCCCAGGGCCACAGGAGGTGACACATGGGGCCCCTGGGTCCTACCTCTCTCGCAGTAGGGCTGTCCCTCCTCCATGTAGAAGGCTCGGTTGCGGATGGGAGTTTTGCAGGCGTTGCAGGTGAAGCACTGCACGTGCCAGGTCATCTTCAGTGCGTGCATCACCTCCTGGAGGGGAGCCACTGTCAGCCAGGGGCAGGACCACCAAGGGCAGGAAGGGACAAGGAATCCCCTGAGATGGACCAAGGTGGGAAGGGACAGAGCCAGGCACTCACAGCAGAGGACAAGGACAGGAGATGGAGGGCAGGCTGAGGGACACTCACCCCAGTGATCTTCTTCTTGCACTTGGCGCAGCTGGGTGCGTAGCGTGTGTCGTAGCACTTGGGGCAGAAGATGGAGCCTTTCTCCTCAAAGAAGCCGCCCTCATCCAGCACCTTCCTGCACTGGCAGCAGATGAACTCCTCGGGGTGGTAATAATGTCCCAGCGCCACGAGGTACCGTCCCCTGTGGCAGGACAGAGCCAGGTCAGCCACGCCGGGGCCCGGGACGCTGGTGTGGCAGTGGTGGCAGCCAGGGCTCACCTGATGACCTTGTTGCACTTGTAGCAGAGCGGGGTGCGGCCGGGCCCCTCGGGGGCTTGCTGGGCTGCCTGCACGATGGAGCTGCGGTTCTGCATGGGGGTCGGCGTGGCCGGCTGGCTGTGCTTGCTCACCACCGTGCTCGTCTTGTCCGGGGCGTAGCGCTCGGCAAACGAGGGGTCCACAGCCCAGGGTGGGCGGCTGGTGGGGCTGGGGGTGGCACTGGGGGTCCTGGGGGCTGCACACACACACAAGTCTTAAGGAGAATGCTCCTGATCCCTCTGCAGCCCCTTCCCAAAAAGCCCAGAGATGTTTTGCTCACCCAATCCTGGCTCAGTCTTCATTGTTGCTCCTGGCGACGGGTCCGGCACGGAGACCTGGCTACAGAGCAAGCAGTTAATCCAGCCTGCCCTGCTCGCCCCCACTGCCCAGGGGGTGAAGGCAGGGCTCCCCATCCCAACAAGCAGGAGGGAGCTGGCCAAGCCCCCATGCCCAGCAGTAACTGGTTTAGAGATGAAGTACTGAGCCAAGGGCCTTCAGTCCTGCCATGACACAGCACCCCCAGGGTCTCTGGTACCCACCGTGGTGGTCTGGGGAGAGGCAGGAGGGAAGTTCTGGGCTTCTCCAGACTGACCAGGGAGCCCAGGGACCACACTTTGGCTGCCTGCTAATATCTGATGATCACCCCCAGTCTCACTGGGGTGCAGGGAACCTGGACGTGACCTGATGCAGGGATCCAGGATCCAGCTCAGCAGCTCTGAGAACAGCCAGGGCAAGCCAGGGCTAAGAGGCACAGCCCAATGAAAGAAGGGGGACAGAGAGAGAGGGAGAGCCAGTGGCTCTGTGCTTCTCCAAGACAAATCCAAAAAGGAGATGGCAACAAACACAACTTTGACTTGTGTCAGAGCAAGCTGGACAGAGCTGGTACCCAAGGGCCATGGCATCAGGGCAGGAGGTGTCACAGAGAGGTAAACCAAAAAGTGGGGTGCTGTCCACCCCCCTGCCTGGCTGCACAGAACAAGGAACAACCCTGACAAGCTGGTGACATCCACAAGCTCAGCTGTCCCACAGCCCCACGTCAGGCTTGCAGGACACTTTGCCCCAGGTCCAGATACTGCCCAAACATCACAACAACCCAGTGAGATTTGGCCAGTGCCATCAGCCACTCCCAACCCGCCGTTTCTGGGACACCATGGCGCAGCTCAGCATTCCCAGCTGAGGGGCAGCAATGCCCAAGAGGTTCTGCCCAGGACGTGCAGCCCCCCAGCTCCTGCTGCCACACACTCCCCTTACCTGGGCTTCCTAACAAACACATCATCATGATCCTCCACTGAGCGCAGCAGGAGAGAAAGGAGGAAACAGTCAGTCCTCACAGAAAGAGGCCTGGGCACATCAAGAAGGGAAAAGGGAAAAGAGGAAAACCAACCTCTCCTCCCAGCAACCTCTGCCCCAAAACAAAGCCCTGCCCGGCCACAGGGCAGACCAGGACCCCAGACCGGTGTCACCATCACGAGACCGCGCACAGCCCCAGGCAGCTCCCACAGACACAACCACCCCACAGGGACCGCACGGGGCCAAATCCAACACTCCAGACCTTGCTGGACCCTGGCAGCACAGGGAGAGTCCAGCACGCCCAGGCAGTGCCAGGCCCTGTGGGAACTCACTGCTGCTGTCTGTGCCCGTCAGCTGGGCCAGTTTGCGGAAGGTGCGGGACTGGGAGGTCCCGGTGCGGGGCTGCCAGTCCTCAGCATCCTCCATCAGTCGCAGCTTCCCAGGGTTGCACCCGGGGGTGCTGGGGGGCTCCAGAGGCTGTGGGGGCTGTCTGTGAGTGACAGAGGGCAGGAGCTCAGCCAGCACAAAGCACACACCCTGCTCTGGAACAGGGAAGCACTCCAAAAGGTGCCCTGGCACATGGCAACACCTCTGCCAAACCCTGCCACTCACCGCTGCTCCACCGTGCCCCAGCTGGACCCGTGGGAATCCCTGTGGCATCAGAAAAAATGGTGGCACAGCAGTCAGTGGCTGATCCATAGCTCAGCCCACGCTTTCCATACGCACCCACGATCTCAGAGATACAAGAACCTCATGGAAATGCCGACAGCATTCACTCCTGACCAGTCTTGCAGCCATTCCATGACCCCACATGATATTGTGCCCTAGGTACAGTGCCTGCCCTGTGACTCCAAAACTGCCCAGCAAAGTGTTGTGCCACCAGCCACCCCTACACATCGTGCTGCATGTTGACCTCCCCAGCTTGGTGCCAGCAGTGCCCAGCGAGTCTTGCCTGCACACCCATTTGGGGACAAACTTTCTGGCCAGTGGGTGTCCAGGCAGGAATCTGCCAAGGTGAAGGTCAAAGCAGTGGTTGAGCACTGGCAGTGCCTGTTGTGGGGTGAGCACAGGGTGGGCTCTGCAGCTCCACCACCACCTCAGCTCTGGGAGAGGACAAAGAGGGAGAGAAGAATCCACAACAGGACAAAGAGTTTGACCAGAGTCACGAGAAGTAGCGATGCTGAGGGGAAATGAGCCAGCAGCACTCACCCAGCTCTGCCCCACCGGGCTCACGGGACATGCCCCAGGTGCAGGCGCTACCCAGCACCTCCCAACATCCCATAGCCAGGTTTTCCCAGTGCCTTCAGCCTCCTCCACTCCTTGTATGCCCAAAGGGCTACAGTGCAGCTCAGCATCCCCAGCTCAGAGCCAGCAGTGCCCAGACACCTGGGACATGCAGCCTCAGCACATGCTCCCCTTACCTGGGCTTTTTAACAATCTCATCCTCGCCATCCTCCACTGAGTGCAGCAGGGGAGAAAGGGGGAGATGGCATCAGTCTGCAGTGACTGACACCCAAGAAAAGCAGGAAAGGAAAGGAGGAAAACCAACCTCTCCACCCACCACCCCCTCGCCCTGTCACACAGCCCTGCTTGACCATGGGGCAGAGCATGGCCCCAGACCAGCAGCACCACCAGGAGCCCACACACAGCCCCGCACGGATCTCGCTGGCTCAGCTGCCTCACGGGGCGACTTGGGGCCAAAACCAAACTCCTGATGCCACATCACCCCACTGCCTCTCCCAACCTCTGGCTATGCCAAAACACTCCCGCATCCTCAGGCAGTGCCAGGCCCTGAGGGAACTCACTGCCATCTGTGCCCGTCAGCTGGGCCAGTCTGCGGAAGGAGCGGGACTGGGAGGTCCCGGTGCGGGGCTGCCAGCCCTCAGCATCCTCCATCAGTCGCAGCTTCCCAGGATCACACCCGGGGGTGCTGGGGGGCTCCAGAGGCTGCCTGTGAGTGACAGAGGGCAGCAGCTCAGCCAGCACAAAGCACACACCCTGCCCAACACTGCCGCACAGGGCAGTGCTGCCAAAGGTGACCTGGCACATGGCAACACCTCTGCCAGACCCTGGCACTCACCGCTGCTCCACTATGCCCCAGCTGGACCCATGGGAATCCCTGTGACATTGGAAAAAACAGCAGCACAACAGTCACTGTAGGTCCATCCCTGCCATATGCACCCACAGCCCCACGGAGGCATGAGCCACGTGGAAATACGGACCACAGCTGCACGGGATGCAAAGCACCAAGACCAGCTGCTGCTGCTACCTCCCAACATCTCCAGCAAGGTGTTGTGATTGTCACCAGCCACCACTACCCAGGTGGGTGCTTGGTGCAGGACTCTCCTGAGGTGACAGAGCAGCGGCTGAGTGCTGGCAGTGCCCATTGTGCAGCTCTGAAAACACCTCAAGTCTGGGAGAGGGGACAGGGAGGAAGGGAGAACCCCCAGCAGTGCAAAGAGCACCCCCAGAGTGACTGCAAGCAGCAAGGGTGAAGTGGCTGTGGGGGCTGAGCCTGGCATGGGCACCTTGTGGGTCCCACTGCTGCCCCTTACCTGGGCTTTTTAATGGGCTCATCCTCACCATCATCCACTGAGGACACCAGGAGAGAAAGGGGGAGATGGAGTCAGTCTGTGGCAGCTGAGGCCCAGGCAGGAAGGAAAGGGAAGGGAGAGGAAGGAAAAGTGCCCTCTCCTCCCACTGCCCCCCTTCCCCAACACACAGCCCTGCCTGGCCACGGGGCAGAGCACAGCTCCAGCCCAGCAGCACCACCACGAGCCCACACAGCCCTCAACAGCTCCTGCTGGTTCAGCTGCTGCAGAGGGCCCAAATGGGGCCAAAACCAATGCCCTGCTGTAACAACACGCCACGGCCTTTACCAGCTGCCCCAGCAAAGCTGGGCACGCCTGGGCAGCCAGCCAGTGCCAGGCCCTGCTCACTCACTGCTGCTTGCGCCCACCAGCCGCGCCAGTTTGCGGAAGGAACGGGACTGGGAGGTCCAGGTGTGGGGCTTTGAGTCCACAATGTCCTCTAACATCCGCAGCTTCACAGGGTCACACACAGTGTCACCGGGGGGCTCCAGAGGCTGCGGGGGCTGCCTGTGAGTGACAGAGGGCAGGAGCTCAGCACCAGGACTGGACCCTGCTCTGGAACAGGGAAGCACTCCAAAAGGTGCCCTGGTACATGCCAACACCTCTGCCAACACTTGGCACTCACCGATGTTGCCCCGTGCCCCAGTTGGACCCATGGGCATCCCTGTAGTATCAGAAAGAATGGTGGCACAACAGTCAGTGTCTGACCAGCACACCCCTCCCCATACGTATCCACAAGCCCAGACACACATGAGCCTTGTGGAAATGCTGACAGCATTCACTCCTCATCAGCCTTGCAGCCATTCCCTGGCCCCGTATGACATTATGCCCCAGGTCTGGTCGAGTTCCCTACCCTGCAACTCCTGACACCCCCAGCAAGGTGCTGTCAGTGCCACCAGCCACCCCTGCCCACTGTGTCCAGCACACTGTGCTGCATCTTGGCCTCCCCAGCTTGGTGCCAGCAGTGCCAAGCAGGTCCTGCCTGCACACCCAGCAGGAGGACACCTCATCTGGGGACAGCCTGCCTAGCTGGTGGGTGTCTGGGCAGGACCCTCCTGAGGTGAGTCAGAGCAGTGGATGAGCACTGGCAGTGCCTGCTGTGGGGTGAGCCTGTGGCTCTGCCAACAGCCTGGCTCTAGGAAAAAGGAAAGTACAGGATAGAGGGTGGAGAATAAGGAGAGGGAAGAAGAAAGAGCAACAGGGCAAAGAGCTTCCCCTGAGTGACTGCAAGCAGTGAGAGAGAACAAGCCTTGTGGGCTGAGCCCAGGGTGGGCACCCTGGGGCTCCTGCTGCTGCCCTGGCACACGATCCCCTTACCTGGGCTTTTTAATAAATTCATCCTCACCATCCTCCACTGAGTGCAGCAGGAGAGAAAGGGGGAGATGGAGTCAGTCTGCAGCAACTACGGTCCAGGAAAAGCAGGAAGGGAAAGGAGGGAAACCAACCTCTCCACTCGCCTGGCCCCATTGCACAGCCCTGTCTGGCCACAGGGCAGAGTACAACCCCAGACCAGCAGCACCACCAGGAGCCCACACACAGCTCCCAGCAGTTCCTGCTGGCTCAGCTGCCCTCGGGGAGTTAACTGTAGCCAAAACCAACACTCCCGGGTGCTACATCACCCCGCTGCCTCTCCCAACCTCTGGCTGTGCCAAAACAGTCCCGCACCCCCAGGCAGTGCCAGGCCCTGTGGGAACTCACTGCCATCTGTGCCCGTCAGCTGGGCCAGTTTGCGGAAGGAGAGGGACTGGGAGGTCCCGGTGCGGGGCTGCCAGTCCTCAGCATCCTCCAACATCCTCAGCTTCCCAGGATCACACCCGGGGGTGCTGGGCGGCTCCAGAGGCTGTGGAGGCTGCCTGTGAGTGACAGAGGGCAGGAACTTCAGCCAGCACCAAGCACAGACCCTGCCTCAGCACAGGGCAGTGCTGCCAAATGTGCCCTCACCAGACCCTGGCACTCACCACTGCTCCACTGTGCCCCAGCTGGACCCATGGGCATCCCTGTGATATTGAAAACAATGGTAGCACAACACTCAGTATTTGCCCACAGCACAGCCCATCCCTCACAAAGGCACTCCAGAAGTAGGAGAAGTCGGAGACACTCAGCCAGCTCTGCCCTGCCATCCCACAGCCCCACGCCAGGCTCACAGACACTGCCCAGCTGCTGCCTAGCACCTCCCAATGCCCCCAGCAAGGTGTTGTCAGTGCAGCAGCCTTCTCCAGATCCCTTTTCCTCAAGAAGCAATGGCAGAACTTGGCTTCCCCAGCTTGGTGCCAGCAGTGCCCAGCAGGTCCTACCCAGCACAGGACATCTTGCCTGGCCAGTGGGTGCCCTGGCAGGACCCTCCTGAGGTGATGGCCAGAGCAGTGGCTCAGCTCTGGCAGTGCCCACTGTGGGGTGAGTGCAGGGAGAGCTCTGCTGTTCCACCAACAGCTCAGCTCTTGGAGACAGAGAGAAAGAACAGCAACAAAGCTTCCCCTGAGTGACTGCGAGCAGCAAGAGAGAACCAGGCGTGTGGGCTGAGCCTGAGGTGGGCACCTTGTGGCTCCTGCTGCTGCTCCAGCACACACTCCCCTTACCTGGGCTTTTTAACAAGCTCGTCCTCACCATCCTCCACTGAGCACAGCAGGAGAGAAAGGGGGAGATGGAGTCAGCCTGTAGCAACTGAGGCCCAGAGACAGCGGAAAGGGAAAAGGAACAGGAAAGGGAAAAGGACCTCTCCTCCCACTGCCCCCCTGTCCCAACACACAGCCCTGCCTGGCCACGGGGCAGAGCACGGCCCCAGCCAGTGACACCACCACGAGCCCACACAGCCCCAGGCAGCTCTGCCTGGCTCAACGGCCCCACAGAGCCAAAACCAACACTTCACGAGGCACCAAAGCCTTTTTCCAGCTCCAGTTGCCCCAGCAAAGCCGGGCAATCAGCCAGTGCCAGCCCCCGTGGGAACTCACTGGCGTCTGCGCCCACCAGGCGGGACAGTTTGCGGAAGGAACGGGACTGGGAGGTCCAGCTGTGGGGCTTTGAGTCCTCAATGTCCTCTAACATCCGCAGCTTCACAGGGTCACACACAGGGGTGCTGGGGGACTCCAGCAGCTGTGGGGGCTGCCTGTGAGTGACAGAGTCATCTGTCAAATCTGACAGATCTCCTGGGGCTGTCCCCCTCCTTCCCCAGCACAGAATCATGGAACACCAGTACCAGAGATGTCACACCTTGTCTTACTCCCCACTCCCCAACTCCTCCCTCACAAAGGCCGGGCCTGCGAAGGACTGACTCTGGAATGACCACCACCATTCCTGGCAATTTGAAACTGGCCCCAAGGGCCAGAAAGAGAAAGGACAGAGCAAGAATAAGCCAAGGTCAAAAAACAGCATCAGGGAAGCTGCACCACAGCTGTCTATGGCAGTGCCACCTGGCCATGGGCACAGTGCCCAGCACAGCCCATCAGCCCTTGCCCAGCACAGACAGATCTTGGGGAACAGGGAATGGATCACACACAAGGACACTCCAGGGCCCCAGCAGCTGGCAGAGACAGGCAGCTGTCCCCTCTACAGTGGGGACAGCTTGGTGCCTGGAGTGACCCACCCACATGGGCAGAGCAGCGCCTGCTGCCCATCCCCAGGCTGGCCCTGCCCAGAAGGACGGGGCACTGGCAGGGAAGAGGCATGCAGGGAGGATAGAGAGAGCAGGTAAAAGGCTTACTGACTTGTCAAGGCTCAGCACCTGTAGGGAGAGGGAAAGAGAAAGGGAGGAGAGAAAGAAAGAAAAAGGAAGGTGAAATTAGACCTACAGCACCCAAGAAGTTCCCAGAGCTCACCTATGGCCTGCATTAGCCCCGTCCCTGAGTCTCATACCCAGCTCACCCAGGGCTGAGAGCACACTGGGGCACAGGGGCAGATGCCAGCAGACCAGACTGCACTCCCTCAGCCCCCAGAACAGGCCCGGATGCCCAAGGCAGTCAGTGCCACATCCTGCCCCACTGCCCAGTTCCTGGGCACTACAGCAGCTCTGGCAGGAGGAGCAGGGACCAGCAGCTGCTGCACACATGCAGCAGAGCCGGGGAACAGAGTGGCACGGCTGGAGGCCATCACTCTGCCCAGCCCCTTCCTGCAGCCAGGGGAACAGCAGGACTTCCCCAGGCAGGCACTGGCTGGTGGTCACAGACAGCCATGGTCTCCCTGTCACCGCAGATGCCAGCCAGTGTCCTGCTACAGCCACCACGTCAAGCCTGGCAGGAGCCCCCTGAGGCTGACACATGGCTGAGCAAGGGGCCGGCATGAGCGTGGCTGCGTGTCCCTGTGTGAGACAGCTGTGTTGTGCCACCTCAGCACCGTCACCCGCCCCACCCAGGGTGTCTGGCATGCAAGGCGCAGCAGGGCCGGGCAGCAGCTGCCCCCGATCCTCAGGGAGCAGGAGGGACAGCAACATACCCGTTGTGCTGGGGGGTGCAGGCGGGCGCCAGGGGCGCGTACGTCACGGGTTTCGTCACCAGCCCGGGCCGCGGGTTCGGAGGTGAGCCGGCCCCGAAGGGCTGAGCGGTTTTGTTGAGGGCGGTGCTGGGAGCGAAGTTATATTTCAGGGGTTCAGAGCAGGGGAGTGAGTCCTGAGCGAGACAAAACACACAGACACGGCTCACACGTCAAGCAGCATGCAAGGGGCAGCCCTGGGCCAGGCAGAGCAGCAGGCAGCCAGGCAGGAAAGCCGGACAGCACGTGCACCTTGGAGAGCAGGCTCTGCCAGGCTGGCACGCACTCCACTGGGCACCTGGCCCAGCGACAGCAGGTCACAAACCCAGCCTGAGGGTCATTGGAAGATTAGTAGGTGCCCCGGACACTCGCTGCTGCCCGTGGCAGGGCGGTGCATGCACACACGCCGCCTGCAGCTGTCCCATGGCACAAAGCTGAACGCATGCAGGTGGCTTCTGCCCAGGAGCCACCAGTCACCAGCCCCAGCCCTGCCTCCCTGTGCCAGGGCACTCCCCAGCACTAGCAAACATGGTGCTGCACCTGCCCAGCCTCCTCCCCTGCGCTGGCCCCTCTGCACCCCTGCCCACACCCAGCACCAGCAGGGGCACAGACAATCTGGGCCCAGCCACCTACTGCGCAGATCCTGCTCCCTCTGATCCTCCATGGTGCCAGAGATCAGAGCTGCTCCTCCAGCTGGGCTTGCTAGACCTTCAAACACACCCCAGCCCCCTAAAAGCCCCAAGAACAAAGTCCACTTGTTTCACTACACTGAGATTCCCTTCCCCTGAGATGAGGCCGAGCTGCCACTGCGGCATCAGGAGCAACACGTACCTTCTGCGGCTTCCCCAGCTGGGTCTGGGCTCTGCAAGAGAGGAGACAGATGGGCAGGTACTGGAGTTGGTCCAGACACCACCGGCATGCTGGTGCCTCAGGGATGCAGCACCCAGCCGAGGGAAACATGGCCAGCTGGCACTGCCCTGTGGCTTGCAGTCAGGTCAAGCCTTATCCAGGCAAGCAGAGCCCTTGGACACAGCCAGGGACTTCCAGGCTCTAAGTAAGGAGCAGTGATGCTGGGAGATGGTGATACCAGGAGGCAGCACAGGGCAGAGGGCCCCGATTACACTCCAGTCATACCAGAACCCCACGTTTGAGGGACTCACAACTCCTACCTGCTCAAGGTGAGGCAGAGCCTGTCCCCACAGGCACGGATCCTGTTCTGGGCCTCGATGTGTGTCATGGCACTGGTGCTCTCCCCGTCGATGTACAGCACCCAGTCGCCCACTCCCACGCCGGCCTGGGCTGCCTTCCCACCCAGAGTCAGCTGCAGGACAGACAGAGTTAGGGAGAGCTGGAACAGTGACATGGGAGTAGAGGGACACCCTCGTGAGGGCAGGAGCCTTCCAAGGCTCAGGATGCCCAGCACAGGACACCACACAGACCTGACCCAGGGGAAAGTGGGGACTCCCAGATAACTCCCCACTGCCCAGTGCATGAGCCCAGAGCAGCCTCTTCCCCTTGGCAGCAGCAGAAGGCAAAGCACTTCTCCAGGGCACTGCCCAGCCCTTGCCCTCTGGCATGCCTGGGGACCCTGCCAGCACCCCAGGGCCTCATTGCCATGACGCCAAACAGAGGCAGTGCTGCCTCAGCTCCACAAGAAGCCCAGCCATCCCTTGGAGTCATCGCCGTGGTCCCAGGGCAGGAAGAGAGCACAGTGAGTCAGGGCCACATCTCACTGCAAACCACAGGCATGTCCAGCCCTTCGCCTGGGGCGGGGAAGGACAGGGGAGGCACCCCTTGGGCACTCCCCCAGCCGCCCGCGCTCCGTTCCCACCAGGCACAGACATTACCTCATTCCCACAGAGGAGCAGGAGCCCTGCCGGGGCACGGAGACACCGCCCCCACCCGTGTTGCCCTGCTGGGGAGCACAGCCACAAGCTTCCCTTCCCGGCCACAGTGCCAGGGATGCGCCGTGCCCCTGCTGGGGCTCCATGGCACGGCTGTAGAACCCCGTGCTGGCTGTACATCCCCTCCCCTCCCACCAGCGATGCACAGCCAGAGGCGAGCAGGGCCCGGAGCAGCGCACACAGCTCCCAGGCACTGACAGACAGACAGACAGACGTGGGCAGGCTGCAGCCATTCCTGCTCCTCCAGCATGGAAGAACTCAAGGCGCTTGGACCCAGACCAAGTATTTCCTCAAGTCCTGTTCGACATGAACATAAAAGGAGCGAGCCAGATTCCCAGCACTGTCAGAGGGTTGAAAAATCCCTGCCACAGAGTCCCGGCCCCTCCTTGCAGAACCCGGCTCGCCCCAGAGCCACAAATCCCTTCTCTAAGCCAACACCAGCCTCCATGCAAGGCCAAACACCACATATGGGCTGGATGTGGCCCAGTTCCACCTGCATCCCATGCCATTCCCAGCAGGACATGGGTACCCCCACACTGCCCTCCCGTTTCCCCGGCCCGGCACAGGAGGGTCCCCTCAGCAGCAGTGGTGCCCCCAAGCTCCTGGCCATGCTCTGCAAGCCCCAGCTTGCTGCCCTGGAGGGCTGGGGAAGGCACGGGGCAGCTGCGTGGGTTTGGAGGCAGGAGCAGGAGCTGGGAGAGGTTTTCACACGACTGCCCAGGAAAGGGAGAGCGCGCCAGGCTGCGTCACGAAGCCTCACCCAGCCTGGTCAGCACTTCCCGTCCCCCTCCATGCCAACGTGCAGGAAACCCCTTTGACAGGTGCCAGCTCAGCCAGGAGCCATGCCAGTGCCAGCCTTCCTATTTCCCTCCCAGACCCGCTAACCAGGGCTTCCTTCCTCCCCTCTCCACCCAATCTTTTGTTCCCTGCACCTCCATCATCACATCCAGAGAGGTGTTCACCTACTGCCCTGTCCCCCCCAGGACAGAGCCTTCCTCAGCACCTTCCCACCAGTAACACCCGAGTGTCTCCTCTTTCCCAGCTGGCAGATGCCAGGAGGTGCCACACAGCATCCAACTATCCAGACTGCAGTCCTTATCACAGCTCCTGCACAGGGACCATGGTTTACAGCCTGCCTAGCCAGCCTGTCAGCACCCTAGCAGGACCATGGTGGCACCTCTTTTGTGTGATCAGTGAGCTGAAACAGCCTCACTGCTCACCCAGGAGTGCCACAATGATGGACACAGCTCAAAGTCAAGCCAATGGACAGCATTGTCCTGTGCTGCCCACCCTTGCAGACCTGCAGAGCAGGGCCCCACTGCAGCCCACAAATCTAGGGCAGGATGCTTCCTTCCAGCCTCTGCAGCAGAGCCAGCTCACAGGAAGCAGTGGCCAAGGACAGCAGCATGATCCGGGCAGGAGCTCTGGGTCTGGGGATGCCTCTGCAGTGCAGAGCAGCACAGGCTGACACTTTCCCATCAGAGCACACCGCCCTGCCATGCAGCCCAGCCTCACCAGAGAGCCCCCCAAGCTGGCTGCATCCCCTGGGAATGTCCTTGCTGCTCCTGCCCTGCCCAGGACAGCAGCACTGCCCAAGCCTCACCAAGAACTGCTTCACGAGGCCCCTGCCCCAGGCTCTGGGAGGCTCCTCCATCCAACCAGACCCTTTGTTAAGAACTGGCTCGCAGCCAAGAGAAACATTTTTTAGAGAATAAACTCGCTGAATCTGTCTCTGCGTGCTCAGGAGAGATCAGCAGGCCCCAGGGCAGCGGCACAGGCGACTCCAGCCTCACACAGTGCCCTCAGGGCCCGTGCTCCATGCTGGGATGCTGTGGAGATCTGTGCCCTCTGGGGCACGTGTGCAGTGCCCAGCTGGAGCCAGGGGCAGGTCCCCACGCAGCACTCGATGCCACAGGCAAAGCTGTCCTTTGAGAAGCAGCCTCAGTGCCAGCTGCCCAAGCGCCAGCGGCACAGGCGATGCAGGCACATTCCAAGGCTTATAAGGCAATTGCGTGGCCAAAGCTGTGGCCAGCACCCGCCCAGGGCTGGGGACCTGCACACAGCCAGGGCCAGACCCGGTAACACTGCCACAGGAGAGGCTCAAACCAGCGGTCACGGGCACAACCAGCTGTGATACAATGGCTCTCACTGGAGAAATGGGAGAATTTTGTAGAGGGAGTCACATCCCTGCAGGCAGCAGTGCAGCTTCCTCCAGTCCCTGCCCGTTTCAGGAGCGACCTCAGGCACAGAACTGGGAGCTCTGCTGGGGAAAGGAGGGTGCTGAAGGGCACTAAGTCCTGGGATGCGAAGCCCAGTGCTGGGGTGCAGACCAGGAAGCCATCTCAGAGAGCAGATCCCCTCCTGCTGTGGTGGGAACACTCCGGAAGGGGCCTCCCCTGCCCCCCTCTGCAGAGGCTGTGCTGAATTTCACGTTTCTGCTGCAGCTCTCTGCCCGGAACACCCCCGTGCTGGGCTGCAGCTGATAAGGGACCAAGGAGGCTACGTGGAGCCAGGCAGGGCAGGATGCAGCATTCCCGGGGCCCCAGCTCATCTACATCCCCTGTAGGGCCCTGCCTCAGCCACTGCGGCCTCCCGCCCACAGGGGCAGGAGGAAGGATGGGTGCCACTGGCCTCGGTTTCTCTTACCCTGGAGATGGAGAGTGGCATGCTGAAATCCTTCCCTCCCTGCAGCCTGAAGCCCCAGGGTGCCGGCCCATTCAGCATCACCTTGTAGGACTCCATGTCGCCCATCTCTGCAAGGGAAGAGGGTGTGATCCCAGCGTTAGGGTATGTGGAAACAATGCAGGGAGAGCAGGCGAGGAGAGGGCTCAGTGCCTGGCAGGGTAGGACAGGAGGCAGGTCACGTTTCCAGCTGTAACTCCACCCTGATCATCCTACACTGTGGTTAGAGACGCACCCCAAATCCATCAGCATCTCCTCCAGCAACACCAGAGCTGAGGGGCCCAGGCTAACACTGACTAGTGCCAGGGAGCCCGGCACAGCCCTGCTGCCACCCACAGCGGAGTGTCTGTGGGCTCTGCTCTCTTCCCAAACCTGGGATGTGCTCTCCTTTGCAGCACCCCAGGAACTCCTGCTGCTGAGAGCCAAGGCTGTTCAGACCGCAGAGAATCAACAGCGGGTACAGAACGGTAGGAAGCAGAAGCATTTTTGCCGGATGAATTAGCAGCAGCAGCACAGGAGCTGCGTGATGCCACCCGAGGCGCCTGGCAGAGCAGCCAGGCTGGCGCTCCGGCAGCCGGCCGAGCAGATGCTCGCTGGGAGCGAGCCCATCTCCGGGGCTTCGGCAGGAGGGAATCCCGGCACTCCCCTGCTGACAGCTGTCAGCCGGCCAAGGCTCCGGACAGATGGGCCAGCACCAGCCTCCCGTCACCTTTTACCTGGAAGAAGCCGGCAGAGCCCTCCGAACGGCCCCAGGACCTTCCTGCCGAGCGCGGCCGGGGCCGGCGGCGGGGCTCCCCACGCCTCGCACGGGCCGGGGGCCAGCGTGCCCCCGCTCTCCCCGGGCCGGTGCGGTCTATATAAGGCGTGTAAGACGACACCAGTCCGCTCCCCGCTCGGAGGGCCGGGGGAAGAGCTGCGTGTCAGGCATTCCCGGCGCCCGGGAGCCGCGCAAGCCCCAGCGAGGCGCCGGGACGGGGCGGGCGGATACCCCTCACCCCTCCCCGGCGGGACGGGGCCCGACTGCACCGGGGGTCCCCAGCGTGCACAGGCCGGGCAGCCCTGCTTATTGCTGGGAAGTCCCACCCTTACCGCGGGGGCGCCTCGGGACCCCTCCCCATCCCACACCGCCGCTCCCCTACAGGGGTGGGGACGCCGGCTCTGCCCCACACGGGCCCGACCCTGACCACCCGCTTTACCCTGAAGCGAGGCCCCAAGCCCTCCACCCATCACGCCGCCATCCCCCCGGCAGAGGACGGAGCCCCCGGCACGGCCCGGCTGCCCGGACTCACCCGCGGCCAGCGGGGCCCGGCTCAGCGGGCGGGAGCGGAGCGGCGCGGGCGGACGCGGGACTCGAACCCGGGCACCGCCCCCGCCCGGCCCGGCCCCGGTAGATATAGGCTCGGGGGGAGGCGGAGCCAGCGGCCGTTCCGGCCAATCCCCGTGCGCGCCTCCGCCTGGCGGGGCGGGCACGGCGGCGCCCCCTAGCGGGGAGGCTGCAGCTGCCCCCGGCCGCCCCCCCCGCTCCCGGCAGCAGCGGCGGAGCCGAGTCCGGGCAGGGCCTTTATTCACCGAACGGCACCGACCGGCACCGGCCACATCACGCCCAGTCCCGCGCCCCGGGGCTCTCCCGGCTCAGCAGCCGCACCAGCTTGGCCCGAAGGGTGCTGTGAGGCTTGTGGCCGGAGCGCCCCCAGCCCGCGGCCCGCGGGGTCTGTGCCAGGGCGGCCCGGTTGTCATAGACGGGCCCCCCATCACTGCTGTGGCCCTCGGGGGCCTGTCGGCACCCCAGCTCCCACTGCCCTTCCTCCTCCTCTTCCTGGGCCCCGGCTGGATGTGGTTTGGCGGTGAAGATGTTCTCGTAGAGATGCTCAGGGAGCGGCTTCCCCCCAGAGCCTGGCTGCCCTGACACAAAGAGGGGCTGCTGGCCCCGGGCGATGGAGGCATAGACGATGGGGCATGAGCCCTCTGGCTCTGGTGGGGTGAAGCGAAGAAGGTTGGCAGGGGGCTGGGAGGCAGGCTGTGTCCCCCCCAGGGCTGGGCTGGGCTGTGGATCATCGTTCCCAGACCCCCAGGGCTGGGGCTCAAGGCCCTGTGCAAAGAGCTGGGGCTCTGAGACACAGAAGAGTCTGGGGTCCAGGGTGTCCTTGCCCTGCTGCTGGCAGGCAATGGCAGCAGCCACAGCCCGGCAGAGCTCAGGGGCCCGTGGGGTGCTGAAGGTGAAGGTGCCCTCGCCGGAGTCACTGCGGCGGCCAGCCTCGAAGGAGAAGACAGCCTGCAGGGTCAGAGGGGAGGGTGAGGGGCTGCCACCCACCCTGGGCAGGCAACAGCCCCAAGAAGGGAGTGGGGGACTCACCTGATCCTGGCCAAACTTGCGAAGGAAGGGGTAGGGCCAGGTGAGCAGAGGCTGGCGAGACTGGGGGTCCTTCAGCGTCAGGCTCTGGGGAAGGGCTGAGAGCAGGTAGTGCCCGTGCAGCCCACAGCGGGTGGCTGCTTCTGTCTGTACCACCAGCACCAAGAATTCAGTCACTGTGAGAGCCAAGCAAGCCAGGGGTCAGCACTGCAGGACTGAGCTGCAGCCCCCCCCAGCCCTCTTCACCACCCTGCACGTACAGTCCTGCCAGGACGAGTAGAGGGAGTTCTCCTCCATGGGGACAGCGGGGCCAGGCTGGGTGCTGGCACTACTCGGCACTGTCTCTTTTGCACCCTGAAACAAAAGGATGTGAGTATGACCTGGGACAGGGGGTGGGGAGGACTAATCCCCTGCCTGCCCTGGAGCTTCCCAGCTCACCCAAGTAGGGCTCTGGGCTCTGCCAGACCCCTCGGTACCTGGAAGGCCAGCTGGCAGAGCTGGGTGATCCATTCATCGCGCTGCTCGGCTGCCAGCACGTAGCTCTTCTCCGTGGTGGTGAGGTAGAAGGCGGCGGTGGCTTTGGGGCAGCTCTCTGTGCCCGCCGGGCCCACAGAGACGCAGTCGGAGAGGCGGATCACCCGGCGGGCACAGCGCTGCAGGGACGGCTTCTCTGGGATGGTGCCATCATCCCGCACATCGAACTTCTCCATGCGGGCCACGCCGGACGGGCTGGCGGCAAACAGCTGGGCTCGCATCTTCCTCCAGGACCTCTAATGCATGGAAAGGGCAAAGGCAGGGAAAAAATGCATCAACGAAGAGCTGGCTGCTGCATCTGGCAGCACTGCCCTCCATACAGGGCACAAGGGGCATTGGGGAGTCCTGGCCTGCACCCAGCAGATGCTGTTGGAGGGCACAGAGAACAGGGGCCAGCACAGACCCCAGAACTGTGGGGCAGGGGAGGCACAAAGCTGGGCAGAGGGGGGCCTTGCCCTGAGCAAGTTTGGCATGGCTCACTGGGTGAGTCACACTCACTCCTGGCTCCCTGAGCACCAGGTCCTGCTCTTTGTTCCCTGCTGCAAGTGCTGGCCTGCCGACCTATAGCTGAGCTCTCGAGCTGTTCTCAGGACAGACCCTGATGCAAATTAAAGCCATTTTGAGCTGCTAAGGCTCCTGTTGGCAGCCTCACATCTGCTCAGCAGCCTGCTTCCTCCCAGGGGAGCATCTGTAGCACCAGCACCTTCCCAGTCTGTCACGGGATAGCGGGGGCGCGTGCCACCGTGTACCTCAAAAGTGCAGCAGAGCCTCCACCCTGCAGGAACCAGATGCAGCCAAGCACCCAAAATACCCACCACCCCCAGCCCACCTGCCTCCTCCATGGCAGGGCACCAGCTCTTCACACACAGGGCTGCCTGCTGCACTTCCAGGGCTTGGTTCTTGTTCAGCAGGGAGGTCAGAGTGCGATTGCAGCCTCACACATCCACTGACACCCCCACAGGACACGGCCACCCTGCCATGCCGTGACCAGTGTGCCAGCAGGACCTACTTTGCCAACACCTGACAGCTCCCTGGAGCTGGCCTGACCCCAGGTACTCTCACCATGTCACCCATACCCTGCCCCAAGGGCTGTGGCACTCAGTGCCCCTTCCAAGGGCACAGAGGAGCAGCCCAAGCCATGAGGGTGTTGCTGGATGGTGCTGGCCCCACAGGGCCAGGCCGATGGAGGGCACAGGGACACGTCCCACGTGCTGGCTCAGGGCCCCGCTCACACACACACACACACACACACACAGATGCTGAAGCTGCGCCATATTAACGCATGTTTATTCTTCCATTGAGGCTCTCATGGTGACCAAGCAAGAAAAACCCAACATACAGGTGAGCCAGAGTGGGTGCCCACACAGATGAGTCCCCTCAGCCCCATGGGAAAGCCCCACTTATGGGGCTGCTGAGCCCAGGGCTCCCCCACTGCTGCAGTCGCCCCTCCTCAGGCTGCTGAGGGCCCAGCCCCAGGCCCAGCATCATGTCAAATCAGAGCAAACCCTCTACCAACCCCAAATCCACCCTTTACCTTTCCAAATTTGGTGTGCTGCACATAAAGGATCCCATCCTTCACTGGTCTCTCCATGGGCCGAGTTCACCCGGGCAGCCAGGGCAAGGATAAGGGACTCGGGCTACCCGCAGCGGAGAAAATGTGACTGCTGCAGTCGAAGGAAAGGCATGGGGCAGACTTCCGTCTCTGAGAGACTTCCCCTTTTTGGGGTGTGGGATGGGGGGCAGAGGCTGGGCCGCGGGAGGTGTCCATGTGCCCGCCCTCCCCCTCACAGCAGGGCAGTGGGGCAGAACGCGGGGGCAGAGCACAGGAAGCACCTCGGGGAGCGCCTGACATGAGCACAGCATGCTCCACCTCACCCTGGCTGCATCCTCCCAGCATGTCTGGGGGAACAGCCACCCGAGAATGCACAAATCCAGGTGAGGGAGATGGGCCCAGAGGAACTGGGTGGATTTGTGAGGAGCAACTCAAGACCATGACCTCACCACTTCAGGGGGCTGGCAGAGGCAGCAGACCAGTGGTCCCACCTGGGGCTTTCCCTTGCCCTGAGGCACTGCTACCTGCTTGCCCAACACACCGCTGATGTAATGGGCTGTTGCAGCACAGCTCCATACATTTCCTTCCAGGGCAGGAACTTGGTCAGGCTGAGCTGGCAAAAGTCCCAATGACCAAAATTCTAGAAAAGGGGCCACAGCAGTACAAGACAGGCCCCTGGGCTGAAAGGAAGCCCAGGCCCACCCAGGGGCAGCACACTGTCCAGGCTAAAAGTCCATAGAGCTGTGCGCCAGGTAGTCCTTGCGGCCAATGTTGCTGACTTGCTTGGTCTGCATGGCCTCCAGCTTGGGGCAGTCGGTGATGCGATGGCCCAGGCCACCACAGAAGGCACAGCCCCGCTCACCTGCAATGGGAGGGATGGGGTCAGGGCCAGGATAATGCCACGCCAGGGCAGCACAGTACCACACCAGGACAGCAGCCCCCACCCCATAGCAAAGGGGCTACACCAGTGTCTTCCCAATGCTGTGGCACTGGGAGCTGGAGGGTCCCGTCTGGAGCCCAGGTTTTGCAGCAGCCCCACGGGGGTCCCTGTGTCAGCCTGGGGTCTCTCACCATTGATGTCCAGCATGGTCTCGTCCCCACAGTGCAGCACCTGGAGCACCGGCGGCACCTTCTGCTTCGCCTCCAGGAGCAGAGCCTTCAGGTCCATCAGCACTGACTCGTCTGGGGGCACAGACACGGGTCAGCCAAAGCCATCCTGCTTGCTCACAACACCCCCTTGGTACTGCCCAGCTGCCTCCTCCAGCCCCCAGCCCCGTGCTGTTGCTCACCACAGGCCTTGTTGATGAAGGTGGTGGCAATGCCAGTGTTGCCTGAACGGCCTGTACGCCCGATGCGGTGAACTGCGGAGACAGGGACAGGATCAGCCCCGGGTGAGCACAGTGGGACAGACCATCCCTACCCCAAGACACTGCAGAGACAGGCACAGAGCCTTGCTGGCCTCCAGAGCCCTCCCACAAGGCCCAGTGCCTACCATAGTTCTCAATCTCCTCTGGCATGTCGTAGTTGATGACGTGCTGGATGGCTGGGAAGTCCAGGCCCTTGGAAGCGACGTCAGTGGCAACCAGGACATCCTTCTTCCCATCCCGGAAGGCCTCAATGGCTTTTGTCCGTTCTTCCTGATCTGCAAAGACCCAGCAGAGATCAGCGATGGCAGAACTCCCAGCCCGACCTACTGCAGCAAACACTGTGGCCTCGGAGTCAAGCATCGCTTCCTCAGGCTGCCTTTCTCCCAGTGAGGGAGCAGAGGGGCCTCGACATCCCATAGCGACCTGCACTGTGTTTATGCCTGCTATGTACAACGTGGAGTTCACTCCTGACACTGTCACAGCCCTTTCTCACACCACCAACAGCTGCTCCAGGCTGGGATCTTCCGTGACCACACACAGTTCTGGCAGGAGTGGGCTCACACCAGGAGCCCAGGCCTAACTGGGACCCTCACTGACCTTTCCCTCCATGGATGGCCACAGCTTCCACACCCTTGAGCAGCAGGTACTCGTGGATTGCATCAACATCTGCCTTCTTCTCTGCGAAGATCAGCACCTGCAGCAGCACAGGCATCATAATAGAGCCCTTTCTGCAGGCTGGCACTGCTGGCACCAGCACAGCCCCCGGGGGAAGCCCACTCCCTCTTGCTGAGCAGAGCATACAGCACTGCTGATCCCCAGCATGGCTCAGTCACAGGCCCACTCTGCACAGGGGGTCCCTCCTCCCAACTCTCCCCACACCCCAGCATGACCACACTGTCCCCAGCATACTCACAGGTGGAGGGGTCTTCTGCAGGCACTCCAGCAGGTACACCATCTTGGCCTCCTCTTTCACATATTCCACTTCCTAGAAACAAGCAGAGACATGGGTCAGGCAGCAGAGAAACTGCCACTGCTTGGTACCCCTTAACTGGGATGGAGGGCCATGAACCCCAGCTCCCTGACAGAGGAAGAAATTAAGTGCCCTCATGAATGTTTCTGGCCTCCCACACAGGCATGAGGGAGCACCCAAACACCTCACCTGCACAACATCCAGGCTGGCAGCACCCGCTCGCCCAACGTTAATGGTGATGGGCTTCACCAGGGCACTCTTGGCAAAGTTCTGGATCTTCTTGGGCATTGTGGCACTGAAGAGGAGGGTTTGCCGCTGGCCCTGCACAGGGAAGAAGCCTTTAGTACTCACCCAATCTGACATATGCAGGACTGAACTTCAGGGTGCTCCTACTGTGGCAGCTCAGTACCTTGAAGTAGGAGAAGATGGTACGGATGTCGCCCTCAAAGCCCATGTCGATCATCCTGTCAGCCTCATCCAAGGCCAGGTACCGGCAGATGTCCAGGCTCACCATCTTCTTCTGCAGCAGGTCCATCAGGCGCCCGGGGGTTGCCACCATCATGTGTACCCCACTGTGGGGTGAGAGGAGGCCGCAGTCAGTCCCTCGGCATTCCTGCTCCATGCAGGACACCTCCCTGGCACACCATTTTCACCCCTGCCAGAAAACAGAGCAGCTCCAGCCCCACAGACTCCCCTAGAAGGTCTTACTGTTTGATGGTCTCCATCTGCTCCTTGACAGACATGCCCCCGATGCAGAGGGCACAGCGCAGCGGGGGCAGCCCATCCTCCTGCAGCAGACGACAGTAGTACTCCAGGATGCCGTGGGTCTGCCGGGCCAGCTCCCGCTGCGGAGACAAAACCAGCTCGTTCCTACACCTCTGTGCAGGTAGAATTTAGGATTGCCACTGCGAGTCAATCACAGCCTCGTCCTGGCACTCACCGAGGGACAGATGATGAGCCCATAGGGTCCCTCTCGCTTAGAGAATGGCAGCCTCTTCTCCTGCTCCAGGCAGAACATGATCACAGGGAGGGTGAACACCAAGGTCTTCCCAGAACCAGTGAATGCAATGCCAATCATATCCCTTCCTGAGAGTCTGCCAGAGAAACGGGGCCGATGAAGAGGAACATCATGGAACAGCTCAAACCTCCAGGGCTCAGCATCTGTCACTGGGAAGAGCACCTGGTCCGCAGCCCTGAGCGGGCTGTGGGAACAACCACTCTGTACTCCGGGACGGGACAGAGCACTCACATTGTGGGGATGCCCTGGATCTGTATGGGTGTTGGCTGCTGGATTCCTTTCTTCTTCAAGCCTCTCAGGATAGCTGTCAGAGAACAAGGAACAATGCACGTTCATGACCTGAACTATTTCCTCTCTTTTCCCACTCAGCTCCCAGCAGCAGCTCTTCCACCAGAGACAAACACCCCTCAGGCCAACAGCCAGGAAAAAGGCAGAATCCCTTCCAGGATCCACTCCTGGCTTACCTGCTGGGAACTTCATTTCCTTGAAGCTTTTGATGGGGGGTGGGATGCCCTCTCCCTCCACCAGGATGTGGTACTTCTTGCGCACACGGTCGTGCCGTGCCTCCGACATGCCCAGGATGTAGCGAGGGGCTCTCCAGCTGTGAAAGCAACAGAAACACGTCATGGGCTCCAGAACCAGCAGCTCCCATGGAGGAATTGAGGGGAACTCCCTGTTAGGCTCCAATATCCTCCCAGATAAAACAGGTAACCCCAAGGGGCTCCACGGAGTGAGCGTTGGAGCAGATCTGAGCCAGTTCCACGCATTAAACCCTTCCCAAAATCTCAGTGAAAAGTGCTAAGCTAACAGCTCAGAACAGCCTATGGGTGGTGGATGGAACATGCCACAAATGTCTGAACACACCTCAGTCATCTCCCTGACATTGCCGCAGAATCACTGAAGTTGGAAAAGACCTCTGAGATCACTGAGTTCAATCTTTGATCAGTCACCACCTCGACAATGCTGCCTCGAGCAGCACTGGCTCCAAAGCCTCTTCCAAACATTTTCTCTGGCTTAGTGACCTCTCAAACTTGAAGACCAACCCTCAGGCCTTCTAGTTTAACATAAATGTCCTTTATCAAGCCTTACTGTATAAAAAACAACATCCAGTGTGGTTCAACAACATTTGATTTTACAAAAAATCACACAAACCCCGTCACTCAGGCAAGAGGCTGCAGAGCCACACTGCTCCTGCAAGACTGTGGCTTTTAGTTCTCTTCAACCATGATAAAATGGTGTTTTCAGAAGGACAACTTCTGAGCTGTGCTGTGAAACTTACCTGGTTTTGATTGGGTCATCATAGGTGATGCCCTTGGCCATCTCCTTCACTGACATCAGAGCTGCAGGAACAAAGGTGATCAGAGCAAACTCTCCTCATCCACACCAACCTCACTACTTGGGCAAACAGTTTGGGAGATCGTGTCTGGAGGCAGAAGAAGAGAAGCAGCAGCACTGACAGCCCCTCTGGCACAGGAACACCAAGTGCTGCTGTGCCCAGAGCCCTGTCACAGCCAGGTCTCAGCCAAGGCAGGCAGTGCCAACTGAGGGCACCCACTGTCACCACGGGTCCCACCCCGGAGTGGGAGCACTCCCAAGACAGGGAACAGCTCTCCTGCTGCCCCGGGAGCTCTGCAGACTGAGACACAGAGCTCCCACTCACCTCGGCCCTCTGCCACGCTCTCCA